TCCCCCGGAGGAGCTGGAGGAAGTGTCTGGAGAGAGGGAAGTCTGGGCATCTTTGCTTAGACTGCTGCCCCCGCGACCCGGTTCCGGATAAGCGGAGGAAAATGGATGGATGGATGGAACTACAGTGACTGTGTTGGACTCTGAGTACTGCCAAAATGCAGATAACCTATAGTCAGCACTGCGCATGAACAAACGGTGATGGATGCAGGTTTAATAATATCAGGATGGGCAGTGTGTGACTCCACAGATGCACTAAGGTGTTAAACAACACCTAAGCGTAATCAGTTCATGAGTTCATTTATCTTCACATTGGTATTAGTTTTTATTTATTAATGAAACCTGTCATACATTGCTATAACTTTTGTTTTTAAAATTTACTTTTACTTAGTTTTCCTGTTAATTTTGTCTCAATTTCATTGTGGAAATAGGGTGGTTAACAATATTCTTTGGTAAAAGTTATTGATGAAATTAACTATGCACAGTAAGATAGAGTTAAAAAAGATAAGCACAGCATTCAATGACAGCATTTCCCAAAATAACTATAGATCTATAACAAGTGGTTCCTGATGATTCATAAAGACTAAAGCCAGCTTGCAGTAGCAAATATCATTATATGTTATTGTTGCTGTCGTGGTTGCCAATCTTTTATTCCTTGAATATCATATAATTGTTAGAGCCCTGAGGACATAAACTGTCGTTTAAAAAAGAGCAAAATCTGAAGAATAGTTTTATTTTTGTATACGTGTTAATGAACAAATGACCTCTGGGATTCAACCTTTTGATCCCCAGGAGGGTTCCTGACCCATAGATTAGGAACAGCTGTTTTACTGGGAATAGTGGAAGCAGTCTCACTGTCCTTATTATTCACACTCTGCCTCTGCTGCTCTGTTTCCCTGTGGCCCTGCTGCTGTGGTGAGGTTTGGTGCTGGATGACTGGAGGCTGTGTGGTCATGTAGCAGCTGACTGTTTGGTTTAACTGTGGGGAGCGAGTAGTCTGACTTTATTTCTTTTCATTCAGTGAACGACGTGGAGGAGAGCGAGGGGCTCCCGTCGCTTGACAAACCCGGTTGGTACTCCCAGGGCAACTGGCCGCACCTGCACAAGCTACTCAAGACCATGACGGGGAAACCAGAGCCCAAGGTAGGCCAGCCACCTTTTATATTACAGAAGCAAGCAGTCAGACCTCGGGCTGAAGGACATCTCTGGCTCACTTTGAGGTTGACCAACTTTGGTTTTTGGCAGAGGCTGAAAGAGATTAGAGATTCATGATAAATCAGCTCAGGGGGATTCACACTGGTGTGATAGAACGTGGCCCTTGGCATAACTGTCGACGCAGTTCCCATGTACCAGCATGCTGCGAGTTCACTGATCAAAGAAGACAAGTAATGCAGCCAGCTCCCCTCATTCTTACATACAGCACAGCCCATTCTTAGGACAGTTCAGCTTACTTGCTAAAAGCAAGGTTGCATTTTTCTGGAGTCTTGCTTATTAGAGTTATATAAATTCTGATTTCAGGATCTAAATACTATATCACCTTTGATTTTGGCTGGTATTTGTTGTATTACAAGTTTTTCAAATATATTTTACAGAGCTATAAAACATAAAAAAACATTCAGCAAAAACCAGGCACAGAACATCATGAAATACAAATAGAAGGATTAAAAAAAGAAAATCAGTCACATTAACCAGGAAAAACTTATTCATCTGAGCCCTCAGTATTTTGAACCTGAGCCAAGCACAAAAACCTAGAACAGACAGTCCACTGAAAGCTCCTTGGCATATGGCTTTATGTGGAGAATGAAAGCTCTTGTAGTTTTCCCATACTGGAATGTCATATCTGAATTTAATTTGACTGCTTTGGCTGCTTTTAACTCTCTCCATGTCAAAAAGTCATGTTAACCTTGGTTTTTGATCTTTCTTTGTCCACTGTCTGTGCAAAAGAGCATGACCCCTCTGGTCTGACAGCACCATTTTGGACTTTTAGCTGCCGAGGGCCCCTCCATGTCTGGCTGTTTGAAATGACTACTCAAGGTCAAAAACCACTTACTGTAGCTTTCACTAGGTGGTAGGTGTGGCTAATTTATGGACTGGATTTTGACAACACAGGATGGTAAATGGACTGTATTTTATATAGCGCATTTTTCACAGTGTGTTGCACTGGCCAAAGCGCTTTACAGGAGATCATACACCATTCACACACCGATGACGACAAGGCTGCCACACAACAGCGCTAGTCAAGCCACCGGGAGCAATTCGGGGTTTAGTGTCTTGCTCAGGGACACTTAGGCATGCGGGGAGACCGGGAGTCGAACCACCAACTTGCTGGTCAGAAGACGACTTGCCCTACCTCGTGAGCCACAGCCACGAAGAGAGAAAAACTGGAATAACAACAGAGAGGCTGCAGGCAGACAAGTGGCATAGAGAGGAATAGTATAATGGAGAGAGACCACATTCTGTCCCATTTTTATTTGGTTTATCAGACAATGTGTGTCTTAATTAATGCACCTTTAAGTTGACTTTAAATTCATTTTGCTGTGTCACATTCTGGTGTGACAGAGCTCTAATCAGGAAGTTGCAAATGAATGTTACTTCACTGATACTTCATTGGTCTACCTTCCAACCATGCTCAGGTTTGGAGCAGGTAATATCTCTGGTACTGTAGCAGTGACATTTCAAAACTGTAACGATTGTTGCTATCATAGCATGTCGCAGGGCTAGGAATCATAACTGTTATAAAACCTGACTGATCAGGCACATTCAGAAGTCTACCTAGCAGTAACTCATCATCATCCACATCTCCAACTCCTCTCCCCCTCCTCCCTGTCCTTAGCTCAGTGCCCCAGCTCTTCTGCTGGTCTCACTGAATTCAGTGTCAGTCAGCACTTATAGCTGCTCTAAACACTTCTCTGGGGTGACCTGAGGTGCTCTGTGTTTTCACTTCTCTCCACTTTCACCCGACAGGACTTAATGCAGATGGACTAAATAGA